GGGGGGGGGGGGGGGTGCTCCTTGTCGCCGAACTGCGACTTGACGCGGAAGAGGCCGCCGAAGTTGCCGTGGCGGGACTCAAGGCTCATCGCCTGCGTCCGCCGCTCCGCCTGCCGCTGCTCGAGCAGCGTCGAGAGACCGCCTGGCCGCGGCGCCGTCGTCCGCCGCCCAAGGCCCGTCGTCGCATCTGCCGCGGCCGCGCGGCCGGCGCCGCCCCTTCCCGGCGGGGTGGTGTCGTCGCTGGCAGCGGCGGCGGCGGCAGCGGCGGCGGCGGCGGCGGCGGCGGCGGCGGCGGCGGCGCTCTTGCGGGCCGCCTCCTCCGACTCTTGCCCGAACACGGCCTGCGGCGTGGTGGCGGCGAGGGCGTAGTGGAGCAGCTCGAGCAGGTTCAGGTTCCAGGCGCGGAAGGCCTCGGACTCGTCAATCTGCTGCAGCATGTACACGACCAGCTCGAGCCCGTGCTCCGCCTCGAGAGTGGTGAGCAGGCGCCGGAGAGTCTCGACGTCCGCCGCAGCGGCCGCCTGCGCGGCGCCCGGGGGAGGCGGAGGCGCGTCGGGCGCGCGGGTGTGGAGCAGGTTGACGAGGAGGGCGACGACGAGCTCGATGATCATCTGGTCCTCCTCGGGCCTCTCCTCCTCCTCAGTGGCGAGCGGGCGGGCGATGAGTGCGACCAGCGCGCGCAGGTTCGCCGCGTCGTCGGCGAATGCCTTTGTGTACGCGCGGTGGTAGGTCTTGAGCTCGTCGAGGTGGGCGCCGACGATCGGGTCCGGCGACTTGCGCTCCTTCAGCATGTCCTCCATCCGGATGCCGAGCTGCTCCGGCTTCATCGTCAGCTTGACGACGACCTTGAGCGCCGAAAAGACGAGCTGCGGGTCGGTGCCGTTGGCGCGCAGGATGGGGAGGAGGTGGGTCTGCAGCACGCGCCACTGGCCCAGCGCGCGGTGGCACGCCATCACGTGCGGGTCGTCGCGCCGCAGGTATCGCTGCATGTCGCTCAGGCACTCGCTCGCCTCGGCGCCGATCATGTACTCATCGCCCCCGTCGCCGCCGTTGGCGAGGCCGAGGCCGGAGATGATGAGGAGGAGCTCCTCCTCGTCCGCGGGGTCGAGGCCCGTCGAGCTCATGGGGGGGGGGGTGGGGGCAGCGGTGGGGAAGCAGCGGCGCGCGCCGACGCCCAACCGCGATCGCGAACTGGCGCCAAAGCTCGGGGTGTGAATGTCCCACGGGCTGAATGTCCCACCCCCCCCGCGCGAGGGCCTTCTAGGCCCGCGGGTAGTCTCACCCCATCCCCAGGGCCTCCAGGGCTCGCACCTCAACCTCTCACAGACCAGCGCACAGCGCCATAGGACGTACTTTCTTCTCAATAACAAGGCTGTGAACAACTGCCGCTGCCTGCTTCTGCACCGCTGATGCCTACATACATACATGCTCCCTCTGTTGCGGTTGCTGCCATAGCTGCTGCGGCCGCACCACCCGGCGAGGCCATCCTCGCGCGCACGGTGTTATTGCGTTCGGACGGATTCGCCCTCGTCCCCGCCCTAGCTCTGCCCGCGCGAAAATTTGGAGACGTGAAGACCGGGTGCGAGGCAGATCATGTTGCCGGCATAGCTCTGCCCGCGCGCAACGCGCAGCATGTCGCGATTAACTGAGTTGCTCCAGAAGCGGCGTCCACCGATTGCCATTCGCTGTCGCTTGGGCGACTCGGAAGCCGATGAGCCCGGTGACGGCGGCGGCGATGTGTCGATCAAGTCTGGCAAGTCATCGTAGTCATCGGCGGGGACGATGCGCGCGTACTGCGGAGAACTGGAGCGCTGCCAGAGCTTGTACAAAGTGACGGCAAGCAGGACCAGGCCTGCGACTGCGTAGATGCTCCACATGTATGTGTGGGGTCGGGCTCGCTCGGGCCTCGGCGAAGAAGTCTCCTTAGCGCTTGGCTGCGTGACTAGTTTTCATAGTGAAAACCGGCGATTTCGAAGCGCCCGTGGCGGTTCGCGAGAAGGAGGGAGAGCGTTTCAGGGGGCTCACGGCAAGGACACCGACCGAGGGGGGGGTCGGTCGTCACACCTCCCGCCGCCGAGAGAGCGACCGACCGGAGGGGGGGTCCGGTCCACCTCGGGGGCAGACCACCGACCGGCGGGGGGGTCCCCACGAAGTAGGGGGGGTGGGTACAAAGTGACGCTCGTATAATCACGCTGTAGACCGAGCAAGCCTCTACGCAGCGCACAAGCGCCACTCTCGTCCTCTCATGGGCTGGTTCGACGACAACCACTGGGCCGGCGAGGCCTACGACTTCGGCGCCGGCTACATGGCACAGGCGGGCTTCACCGATGCGTACGGCGGCCCTTCGTCATCGATGCAGCGCCTCGCCGCGTCCCTCCATCGTGGTGCTCCGCGCGGAGGCGGAGGATCGCGCGGAGGCGGAGCATCGCGCGGCGGTGCATCGCGCGGCGGCGGCGGCGGCGGAGGCGGCGGCGGCGGCGGAGCGCCGCGCGGCGGCGGCGGCGGCGGCTTCTGCGCTTGTGGATCGTCCGCGGCGAAGGCGTGCACGCTGCAAATGTGCGGCAACTGCTGCACCGGCTGCCCTCGGCACCCTCAGTCGAAGGGCAAGGCCGCGGCGTCCAGCGCGCCGGCGCCAAAGCTGCCTGTCTCGTCCAACCCGCCGCCCTCGACGAACGCGGCCATGACGGGTCGCCCAGCGGCGGCTGTGCTGGCAGTGATCGCTCCGGCGCCGAGCGCTGCCGGCGCATCCATGTCCACCCCGCGCTTTGCGGCCTCCTCGGTGGCGCCGTCGCAATTCGCGGTCGCGGCGACGGCGCGTGCGCACGCGGCAGCGAGCGCGCCGCCCCCCGCCACGGCCGCCCCCCCACCCCAGGGCAGGGTACCCGTGCCGGCAGGCGCGCCGGCCCCGGTGCGAAGGGCGCCGGCGGCCGCGCCCAAGGCGCCCAAGGCGGCCGTCGCCGGCGGCGGGTGCGGCCCGTTCCTCGCGCAATGGGAGACGCGGCCGACCGTCGTCGAGTACGCCAAGTCTGGCCGCTCCACATGCAAGGCGTGCCACCTCCCGATCGACAAGTGCGCATCGGGACGGAGGGGCTCGGCGAGACGGCTTACGGCGGCGAGTTCATGATGACGTCGTGGAAGCACGTCGGGTGCCAGCCGCGCTCGCGCAACGGGGGCAACACGCTGTACGGCAAGGCGGCGCTGCGTTCAGGCGACAGGGCGTACGTCGACGCCTGGGCGCGCGGCGACCGGTCGGCGATGGACGCACACCTGGCGCGCGCGCGGCGGGCGGCGGCCGACGCGGAGGCCGCCGCCGAGCGGGCCCGGGAGGAGGAGAGGGCGGCCAAGGAGAGGGCGAGGGCCGAGAAGGCGGCGGCCAAGGCGGCGGAGAAGGAGGTGGCAAGGGCGGCCAAGGCGGCTGAGAGGGAGGCGGCGAAGGCGGCGAAGGCGGCGGCCAAGGAGGCGGAGAAGGAGGCGGCCAAGGGGGCGAAGGCGGCGGCGAAGGCGGCGGCGAAGGAGGCGGCAAAGGTGGCGGAGGTGGCGGCCAAGGCGGCGGGGACGGCGGCCGGGAAGGAGGCGGCCAAGGCGGCGAGGGCGGCCGTGGCGTTGGACGCCGCCAAGCCGGCCAAGCGTCCCCGCGACGCTGACGCCGGCGACGGCGTGGCGGGCGACGCCTCTTGTGTCGAGGAGGAGGAGGAGGAGGAGGAGGAGATGGAGGAGGAGGAGGAGGAGGAGGAGGAGGAGGAGTTCGAGGTCGAGGCCCTGCTCGAGGCCAAGGGCTCGGGCCGAGGCCTCAAGTACCTGGTCAAGTGGCTGGGGTACGACGGACCCGACGACAACACGTGGGAGCCAGCCAAGCAGCTCCCCGCCGGGATGGTCGCCGAGTTCGAGGCGGCGCGCGCCGCGCCGCCCTCGGCCAAGCGGGCGAGGGTGCGCGCCGCGCCGCCGCAGGCGGCGGCTGTTGCCGGCGGCGGCGACGAGGAGGACGACGAGGAGATGACGGTTGGCGAGACGGCGGCGCGGGCGGAGCTCAAGGCCGAGGCCGATGCGGCCGCCGTGGGCAAGCTGACCGTGCCGAAGCTCAAGGAGGCACTGCTGCAGCGCGGCCTCGAGGCCACCGGCCTGAAGGCGGTGCTGGCGGCGCGGCTGCTCGAGGCCCTGGGATCGGAGTGACGAGGGAGAATGTGGACTCGTGGGACATGAGTGACGCGGTCGACGGACGGGGGGCTTGAAGCTAAGAATATTTTATTTACCCTCCGTACTTTCTACCCGGCTTTACATCCGCGTCTCGAAGAAGAAAACAGAAATTCGGCTAAATGCGGCTGCGCGCGGCAGCGCCGCCGAGAGCGGGCGGAGCGCGTGCATAGACCGTTTTTATGGCGCGTTGAACCGTTGTGGCAATCCCGGCCATAAAAAACAAAATTGGCGCACGAGCGGTCGCACCCGATGGCCATCGTGGTTGGCATGACGCTTCTGCTTGAGGAGATTGTCTGTTTTCTTTCTTTTCTTCCCAACATAGAAGGCGTTGTGTGCCGTCGCGGACCGTGCGTCTCATGTCGGGCGTGCCGCCGGTGAAGAGGTTGCACATGTCGGCGCTGCGATGCTTCATGAGCACGCGGTTGGCGAGGCGGCGGATCGCGGCGGGAATGCCGATGGGACGGGTGCCGGTGAGGTTGCCGTCGTCGTCTCTCTTCTCGATGCCGAGGAGGTTGAGGTCGCCCCAAATCTTTGTGGCCGACTCGTGCACCTCGCCGCGGTTGATGGAGGCGACGATGTCGAAGAGCACTTCCCTCGTGTGACGTGTCCGCCCCGCAAGTAAAAAAAAGAAGAAGGTCGGGGTTTCCTCCGTGCACTGACGGTCGGCCGCCAGAAAACACGCCTCCGTGGCTCGGGTTACACCAATCCTCGCTACCCAACGCGGCCAAAGGATATCCACCTCGAGAACCTCGAGAACCTCGAGGGGTTTCCTGCCGGGGGCCCTCTGCCCGCCGCTGCTGCCTTCGCGGAGTCGGCGAATCCTGGTTTGGCCATCAATGGGCGATGTGCGTACAGCGGCCTTCTCTTTCACATCCCCGTCGCCCGTACCGACCCACCTCGCGTGCGCACAGGCCATGCCACTCCTGCAGTGCGTGGAGGAGAAGCAGCACATGCGAGGTGCGCTGTCGCTGCCCGAGTGCCCTCTCCGATGCAGCTGCACCCCCACCCAGTGGGTGCTGACGGCGGCCGTGTGCCCCGATTTTGTGCGTGCTGACGGCGGCCGTGTTCCCTCCGCAGTGCTCAAAATGATCCAGAACGGCGCCGATCCCAACGGGAATTATCTCGGCGTCTCGCCGCTCAGCATGGCCGTCGAAGGGCTGGACGTTGACATGGCGCCGACGTTTTCTCTCCTCTCCCCACCCCCCCACCCTCACTCCACGCCGCTCGCTGCCCGCCACCAAGCTTGCCCACCGACTCCGCACCAACACACACCAGACACCCACGCTGTCCCACGCACGCTGTCCCTCGCCTGCCACTCGCTCTCGCCTACTCCACACCCTCGCCCGCCCAACCCTCACCACGGCCGCCCGTGCGGCAGGTGGCGCTGCTGATCGAGTGGAAGGCGGACCCGCTGATGACGCACCGCATGCAGGCCCCCTCCGCGCTCGACCTCGCGGAGAAGCTTGCCAAGGACGGCAGCGCCACGCAACAGGCGCCACGCTAGCACACGCCCTGTAGATCCGGACATGTGCTCCGTCGCGCACACTCGACATGCTCCAACCGCGTGCGTCGCTCCTGTGTCGCACGCTGCCAGTCGTCGATCTTAGTAGCTGCTAGCTGAGCACAGTCACTCTACCTACATAACTACTTTGCGCGAGCTGCACGTGGCGCCTTCACACAAAAACACAACCCCGGACCCAAGACGCACAAGCACAGACAGTCGAGAAACAGCAACGGCAGTCAGAAGTCAGCTCTGGGTCCCAGGAAGGCGAGCGCGAGGACGGCCTCTAGTGCGAGCTCTCTAGCTATTGAGCTCATACGCACCGCAGGCAGATAGATCGCCACCAGGATCCACCCCGTTCACGGCGCGTCGCTCCTGTGTGGCCGTCTCTACGCCTCGCTAGCGTCCCGCCCCAAACCGCCTGGCGGT